AAAGAGAGACATAGAAGAAGATCTTAGAAGATGGAAAAATATACCCTGTTTATGGATAGGCAGAACTAACATCATCAAAATGGCGATATTACCAAAAGTTCTCTATAGGTTTAATGCAATCCCAATCAAAATCCCAACGGCATTTCTTGTAGAAATAGAGAAAGCAATCATGAAATTCATATGGAAAAATAAAAGACCCAGAATAGCAAAAACAATGCTAAGCAGGAAGTGTGAATCAGGCGGTATAGCGATCCAGACTTCAAACTATACTACAGAGCAATAGTAACAAAAACAGCATGGTACTGGTACCAAAACAGGTGGGTGGACCAATGGTACAGAATAGAGGACACAGAAACCAATCCACAAAACTACAACTATCTTTTATTTGATAAAGGGGCTAAAAGCATGCAATGGAGGAAGGATAGCATCTTCAACAAATGGTGCTGGGAAAACTGGAAATCCATATGCAACAAAATGAAACTGAATCCCCTCCTCTCGCCATGCACAAAAGTTAACTCAAAATGGATCAAGGAGCTTGATATCAAATCAGAGACTCTGCATCTGATAGAAGAAAAAGTTGGCTACGATCTACATACTGTGGGGTCAGGCTCCAAATTCCTCAATAGGACACCCAGATCACAAAAGTTAATAACTAGAATCAACAAATGGGACATACTCAAACTAAAAATTTTTTTCTTAGCAAAAGAAACAATAAGAGAGGTAAATAGGGAGCCTACATCCTGGGAACAAATCTTTACTCCTCACACTTCAGATAGAGCCCTAATATCCAGAGTATACAAAGAACTTAAAAAAATTAGAAAATAAGAGAACAAACAACCCAATCAACCAATGGGCCAAGGACCTGAACAGACACTTCTCAGAGGAGGACATACAATCAATCAACAGTATGGAGATTTCTTGGAAAGCTGGGAATGGAGCCACCATTTGACCCAGCTATTCCCCATCTCGGTCTATTCCCTAAAGACCTCAAAGGAGCATGCTACAGGGACACTGCTACATCGATGTTCATAGCAGCACAATTCACAATAGCAAGACTGTGGAACCAACCTAGATGCCCTTCAATAGACGAATGGATAAAAAAGTGTGGCATTTATACACAATGGAGTATTACTCTGCATTAAAAAACGACAAAATCATAGAATTTGCAGGGAAATGGATGGCATTAGAGCAGATTATGCTAAGTGAAGCTAGCCAATCCCTAAAAAACAATTGCCAAATGTCTTCTTTGATATAAGGAGAGTAACTAAGAATAGAGTAGGGACGAAGAGTAGGAGAAGAAGATTAACATTAAACAGGGATGAGAGGTGGGAGGGAAAGGGAGAGAGAAGGGAAATTGCATGGAAATTGACAGAGACCCTCAGGGTTATACAAAAGTACATACAAGAGGAAGTGAGGGGAAAGGGACAAATAATACAAGGGGGAGAAATGAATGACAGTAGAGGGGGTAGAGCGAGAAGAGGGGAGGAGAATGGAGGGGAGGGAGGATGGTAGAGAATAGGAAAGGCAGCAGAATACAACAGACACTAGTATGGCAATATGTAAATCAATGGATGTGTAACTGATGTGATTCTGCAATCTGTATATGGAGTAAAAATGGGAGTTCATAACCCACTTGAATCAAAGTGTGAAATATGATATATCAAGAAATATGTTATGTTTTGAACAACCAACAATAAAAAATTTTAAAAAAATGCAACATATCAAAATCTCTGGAACACTAGGAAGGCAGATATAAGAGAAACATTCATTGCATAGAGTTTTTTCCTTTAAAGAAGAAAAAGTCAACAAATAAATGACCTAACATTACACCTCAAAATCCTAGAAAAAGAAGAACAATTCAACCCCCCAAATCAGTAAAAGATAAGAAATAATTAAAATCAGAGATGAAATCAATGAAACTGAAACAAAAGAAACAATTGAAAAAATTGACAAAAAAAAGTTGGTTCTTGGAAAAAATAAATAAAATTGATAAGCCAGTAGCCATTCTAATGAAGAGAAGGAGAGAAAACACTAAAATTAATAACATCCATGATGAAAAAGGAAATATTATGATGGACACTAAGGAAATACAGCAGGGAATTATAAATAATTTCAAAACTGTGTACTCCAATAAAATAGAAAATACCAAAGGGATTAACAAATTTCTAGAGGCATATGATATGCCCAAACTAAAACCGGGTGATATACACAATTTAAACAAATCAATTTAAAGCAAGAAAATAGAGGACACCATCTCAAGATTACCTATCAAGAAAATCCCAGGACCATATGGACACAAAGCTGAGTTATATAAGACCTTTAAAGAAGAACTAATACCAGTAATTTTCAAACTATTTCATGAAATAGAAAAAGACGGAACACTTCCAAACACATCCTATGAAGCCAGTATCACCCTGATTCCAAAACCAGACAAAGGCACATCAAAGAAAGAAAACTTCAGACCAATATCTCTAATGAATATATAAGCAAAAAATCTCAATAAAATTCTGGAAAATTGAATACAAAAACATATCAAAAAATTAGTGCACCATGATCAAGTAGGGGTCATCCGAGGAATGTAAGGTTGGTTCAACATGCAGAAATCAATAAATGTAATTCATTACATCAATAGACTCAAAGATAAAAATCATATGATCATCTCAATAGATGCAGAAAAAGCATTTGATAAAATACAGCATCCTTTCATGTTCAAAACCCTAGAAAAACTAGGGATAACAGGAACATTCCTCAACAATTCCTCAATTGTAAAGGCAATCTATGCTAAACCCCAGGCCAACATCATTCTAAATGAAAAAAAAATGAAAGCATTCCCTCTAAAAACTATAACAAGACAGGGATGCCCTCTATCACTACTTCTATTTAACATAGTTCTTGAAACTCTAGCCAGAGCAATCAGATAAATGAAAGAAATTAAAGGGATATGGATAGGAAAAGAAGAACTCAGATTATCACTATTTGCAGACAAGATGATCCTATACTTGGAAAACCCAAAAAGTTCCACCAGAAAACATCTAGAACTAATAAATAAATTCAGCATATTAGCTGGATATAAAAGCTACACCTATAAATCAAAGGTATTTCTGTACATCAGTGACAAATCCTCAGAAAGAGAAACTAGGAAAACCACCCCATTTACAATAGCCTACAATAAAATAAAATAAAATATTTGGGAATAAACTTAAGAGCTGAAAGACCTCTATAATGAAAACTACAATATGCTAAAGAAAGAAATTAAAGAAGACCTTAGAAGATGAAAAGCTCCACCTTGCTCTTGAATAGGCAGAATTAATATTGTCAAAATGACCATATTTCCAAAAGCACTATACAGATTCAATGCAAGACCAGTCAAAATCCCAATGACATTTCTCATATAAATAGAAAAATCAATCATGAAATTCATATTGAAAAATAAGAGACCCAGAATAGCAAAAGCAATCCTTAGCAAGAAGAGTAAAGCTGGCGGCATTATTATTCCAGACCTAAAACTATACTACAAAGTAATAGTAACAAAACAGCATGATATTGGCACCAAAATAGACCTGTAGACCAATGGTACAGAATAGAGGTCACAGAGTCTAACCACATTACTGCAGTTATTGTATATTAGACAAAAACATATTGTTTGGCATATATTGTATACGTGCCCAAAACATACATTGGAGAAAAGATACTCTGTTCAACAAGTGGTGCTTGGAAAAGTGGAATCCACATGTAACAAAATGAAATTAAATCTCTACCTCTCACCATGCACAAAACTCAATTTAAAGTGGATCAAGGACCTAGTAATTAAACCAGAGACCTTGTGCCTAATGGAAGAAAAACTAGGCCTAAATCTCCATCATGTTGGAATAGACCCCAATTTCCTTAATAAGACTCCTATACCACAAGAATTAAAACCAAGAATCAATAAATAGGATGGATTCAAACTAGAAAGCTTTTACTTAGCAAAAGAAACATTCAGCAAGGTGAATAGAGAGCCTACAGATTGGGAGCAAATTTTTACCACAAGCACTACAAAATAGGGCTAAGTGGTCGAGTGTCATTGAGTTCAGTCCCAAGTACCCCCCTCAAAAAATATATATATATATATATTATATATCTTGAGAAAAAATTTAAAAACACAGCAAAACAAAACTTATAGGATATGTCAAGGGAAGTCACAAAAGGACATTTAGAACTAAAAATACCTATATTAAGGGGGAAAAAACTCAAATTAACAACTTTATAACTTAAAGAACTGGAAAAGAATAGATGAACTCTATATAGGGCAGAAGGGTGGGAGGGGAAGAGAGGGGGCAGGGGGTTAGCAATGATGGTGGAATGTGATGGACATCATTATCCAAAGTACATGTATGAAGATATGAATTGGTGTGAACATACTTTATATCCAAACAAAGATATGAAAAATTGAGCTCTATATGTGTAAAAAGAATTGTAATGTATTCCACTGTCATATATTTAAAAATAAAATCAATTAAATATTTTTTTAAAAGAACTGGAAAAGAACAGACTAAATTCAAAAGTAGCAGGAGGAATAAAATAAATATAGAGTACAATACATAAAAGCCTAGAAAAACAATTAAACAGATAAACAAAAATGACTTGGTTTTCTTACAGAATTTTTAAAACATTGATAAGCCTTCAACAAATCTATAAAAGAAAAAAGAGAAAGGACTCAATTAAAATTGTAAACGAAATTATAAATTTGCAATTTGCAACAACATGGATGAATCTGGAGGGCATTAATCTAAGTGAAAATATCAGGCAAAGAATGGTAAATACTGTACGAACCCACTTCTGTATACAATCTAAAAAAGTGAGCATCAAGAAAAGGAGAGCAGAACGGCAGTTGATAGGGGTTGAAAAGTGCAGGGAAAGGGAATAAGTTGGCCAAAGGGTATAAAATTTCAGTTAAAATATAAATAAGTTCTGGACACCATGGTGACTACAGTTAACAATATTACATTTCATAGCTGAAATTTGCTTTTTTATAATTTTTATTGGTGTATTATAAGCATACATAATAGTGGAATTCATTGTGATATGTTCATAAATGCACATAGCATAAATTTGTCTCCTTCAGAAAGATCTTAAGTATTCTTACTAAACACAAAAAAATGTAAACTATGTTAAGTAATGGAAGGTTAGATAACTAGATTATAATAATCATTTCACAGTATATATGAATATCAAATCATTACTTTGTAACCTAAATATATAAAATTTGTATTTCCAAATTACGCATCAATAAAGCCAAGAGGGGAGAAGGGAAAACAGATAAGTGGACAAACCACATCATATAATTTATGTCCATAAATATACCCTTAGCATTCAGACAGAGATTAAGGAACAGGCTCAAGTGTATTCTATGTATGCACAAAATAGGTCTCCAGTGTACTCTTTGTCATATAGAAAATGTCATTTTATGAATAAGCAAATGAATGAATAAACAAATAAATATGTAAACAGTTTTCTCAAAAAGTAAAATAACAACATACTTAAAAGTCTATGGAATTTCTTTCACATAAAGAGGAACTTAATAGTTATCTCTAGAACAATGGACATGAATCCAATAACATGTCCATGAAAAAGGTGTTTGATTCATAAGTAGATCTTCATCATTTCACAAATTGAGCTTTGAACATGAGCACAAAAAATATCATTCCAGCCCCATTGTTTACGATAATTTAACACAACACAACGCTCTTGGACTCTGTTGGGCTCACCTAGATGCCAGAACCTGAAACAGAGAAAAAGCATGAGGTGATTCTTCCAGCACTGCTTTTAAAGGGGTTAGAGACAGTTATGGGGCCATAGGCTGGGGTGGAACTTTGTGGAAGTCAGGGTCAAATATGCCCAGACCAACACTTCCCCACTTCTCATGCAGTTTTTCCTCCATCAAAACCTTTAATATTTCCCTTGAAAACTGTGCCCACATCACTTAACATTTTCTCATATCTTATTGCAGCAAACATTTTACCTAAAGACATCCCAGAGGTTGTTTTCTATTTGTGCATCCATAGTCCTATGCCAGGGACTGTCAATCACGTGGCTTTGTTATATAATGAAGAGATATCAATCTGGTCTCATTATCAATATAGTTCTTTTTCCCCCTTTTTACAGGAATGATTTTGGAGTCAAAAGGCAAGCAAAATCTCTAGAGAGCCTACTTATTCTTGTTTTTTTGGACAAATAATTTCATTTCTTTGATTCTCAGTTTGCCCATCTAAAAATTGAACCGGAGTAACAGCACTATATATTTCACAAAGAAGATATGAGGATCAGAGGTAGAAGTATACTAAAATATTTTTAAAGATAATATAAATGTGGGTCTGGGATGTGGCTCAGTGGTAGAGTGTTCACCTCACACGTGCAGGTGAGTTTGATCCTCAGCATCACATAAAAATAAATAAAGAAAATAAAGAAATTGTATCCAACTATAACTAAAAAAATAAATATTTATAAAAAAGATAATATAAATGTTGGATATTGTAATGGTATCAGAAGTTAGGATTTCTGCTTTATGAGAAATATTAAATCATAATTTTAAAATAATCTGTAATGATCTTAATAAGCATGTACTTATATTAAGGAGATATAAATAGGTTAAAAGCAAAGTACAATATACGTGAATTTTTATTAAGGAGATATAAATAGGTTAAAAGCAAAGTACAATATACGTGAATTTGGAAACCATTATTGGATTACCTTAGCTAAATTATCTGTACTCTCCACACTCCACTTTCTCATTTTTATAAAAATGATGTGTATTATATAAGATATTCTTGATGATTAAATGAGATAATAAAATAATTTAACCAAGTGCCCAAGAGAACAAAAATGAGATATTTGAATTTCATATCTTAGAGCTGGGCACCCTAGATTTTAGACATGATATATGACCCAGGATTCCTTTATCTAATTCTGTACTCACGTGGTATTTTCGTTGTATGGTGTCTGACCAATCCATTGCCAATGTCTCTGACCCTCTGGATCTGACAACCCCACAAAATAAGCATGCGATTTATTCAAATTCCAGGTGATAAAATCCTTAAAGAAAAGAAAAAAAGAAATCATATCTGTAGAATACTCAACCGCAACTGGGGTGTTTTGGGGGGTTTGTTGTTGTTTATTTCATTTATTGTTAAATTAAGCTATATACACTATAAATATATCACAAGTAACTTTATGAACAAATATATTCACAAATAAATTATTTTTAGATTGGTAAATTTTAACTATTCTTTTAATTGTATAAATTTATGGGGTAGAGTGTCATAATTTGATTCATACATACTGTGTGTAATAATCAAATCTGGGTAGTTAATATTTCCATCTTCTTTACATTTTTTAAAAGTTCTTATAAAAAATAAATAGATTTCCTATACAGAAAAATGAATTTTCTGAAAAAGAAATGAAGAAAATTATTCCAATCACAAAAGCCTCAAAAAAAAAATACCAAGGAATAAATCTAACCAAGGAGGTAAAAGACATCTATAATGAAAACTACAGAACATTGCAGAAATTGAAGAAGAACTCAGAAGACGAAAATAGATAAGATGTTTCTGGACAAGCTGAACAAATATTGTCAAAATGGCTATGCTACCAATAGCAAAATACAAATTCAATGCAATCCTCATCAAAATACTAGTGACATATTTCGCAGAACTAGAAAAAAGAAAAAAACAGTCCTAGAATTCATTCAGATAAATGAAAGACCCAGAGAAGCTAAAACAATTCTAAGCCAAAAAAAGCAATGCTGAAGGAATCACTCACTATACCTGACTTCATGTACTTTATGTAGTACTTCAGTACTTTATGTAGTACTGACATAAAACATAGATCAATGGTAAAGAATAGAAGACAAAGAGACAAAACCACACATGTACAGTCATCTGATCCTTGACAAAGTGCCAAAAACATACATTGAAAAAACAACAGCCTTTGTAACAAATGGTGCTGGGACAACCGGTTATCCATATGTAGAAAAATAAAATTAGACCCTTATCTCTTACCCTGAACAAAAATCAACTCAAAATATATCAAAAACCTAGAAAGTAGAACAAAACCTTGCAACTCCTTAAAGAAAGCATAGGCTCAATACTACACCATATAGGCACAGGCAGCAAGTTTCACAATAGGATGGTATCAAATTAAAAAGCTTCTGCATAGCAAAGAAAACAATTAGGAATGCGAAGAAAGAGCCTAAACAATGGAAGAAAATCTTTGCTGGTTTCTCTTCTGACATAGGATTAATATCTAGAATATACAAAAAGCTTGAAAAACTTTACCAAAAAAATCAAATAATTAATAGATGGGCAAATGAATTAAACAGACTCTTCTCAAAAGAAGAAATACAAGTGGCCAACAAATATATGGGGAAAAAAGTTCCACATCATTATCAGTTAGGGAACTACAAATCAAAACTACACTGATATTTTCATCTCACACCAGTCAGAATGGCAGTTACCAGGAATACAAATAATAAATACTGAAGAGGATGTGGAGAAAAAAGAATGGTGTTACAGTGTTGGTGGGATTGTAAATTCATATAACCATTATGGAAATCATTTTGAAGGCTCCTAAAAAGATTAGGCTTTAAACCACCATATGAACCAGTTATAGCCCTTCTGCATATTTATCCTAAAGAATTAAATTCATCATACTACAGGGAAACATGCATACTCATGTTTATAGCAGCACAATTCACAATAGTCAAACTCTGAATCCAATGTCAGTGTCCATCAATAGATGAAAGGATAAAGAAAAGTGTGGTATATATAAACAATGGAGTTCAGCCATAAATAGAAGTGAAATTATGTCATTTTCAGGCAAATGGATTAAACTAAGACCATTATGTTAAGCAAAATAAGTCAAACCCAGAAGGTCAGGGCCCACATGTTTTCTTTCTTATGTACAAGCTAGAGAGAACAAAGAAAAAAAAAAACCGTGGGGGTGGATCTCATAAAAATCAAAGGGAGATCAGTAGAGGAAAGATAGAAGGGATGGGAAGTGGGGAAGGAGAGAAGTGCTAGGGAAAGATATTGACCAAATTATATTGTTACATTGTGTGTATATACAAATATGTAACAACAAATCCCATCATTTCTCCAAAGAACATTTTTGGTACTTTTGTCTAATATAAACTAACTGTAGTTATGTGGGTTAGACTCTGTGTCCTCTATTATGTACCATTTTTCTATTGGTCTATTTTGGTACCAATACCATGCTGTTTTTGCTACTATTGTTCTGCAGTAGTTTTAGGTCTGGTATAGTAATGCCACCAGTTTCACTCTTCTTGCTAAGGACTGCTTTGGCTATTCTGGGTCTCTTATTTTTCCATATGAATTTCATGATTGCTTTTTCTATTTCTATAAGGAATGTCATTGGGATTTGTATTGGGATTGCATTGAGTCTATATAGTACTTTTGGTAGTATGGTCATTTTGACAATATTAATTCTGCCTATCCAAGAGCAAGGTGGAGCTTTCCATCTTCTAAGGTCTTCTTTAATTTCCTTCTTTAGCATGATGTAGATTTTATTGTAGAGGTCTTTCAACACTTCCTTTAAGTTTATTCTCAAGTTTTCTTTTTGAGGCTATTGTAAATGGAGTGGTTTTCCTAGTTTCTCATTCTGAGGATTTCTCACTGATATACAGAAATACCTTTGATTTATGGGTGTTGCTTTTATACCCAGCTACTTTTCTGAATTCATTTATTAGTTCTAGAAGATTTCTGGTGGAATGTTTTGGGTCTTCTAGGTATAGAATCATATTGTCTGCAAATAGTGATAATCTGAGTTCTTTTTCTATCTGTATCCCTTTAGTTTCTTTCATCTATCTGACTGCTCTGGCAAGAGTTTCAAGAACTATGTTAAATAGAAGTGGTGAAAAAGGTCATCCCTCTTCAACACACCTCTCTCGCCACTGGACAGATCTTCCAAACAAAAGTTGAATAAGGAAACTATAGAACTCAATAACACAATTAATAACCTAGACTTAATTGACATATATAGAATATACCACCCAACATCAAGCAGTTACACTTTTTTCTCAGCAGCACATGGATCCTTCTCAAAAATAGATCATATATTATGTCACAGGGCAACTCTTAGACAATATAAAGGAGTAGAGATAATACCATGCATCTTATCTGATCATAATGGAATGAAACTGAAAATCAACGATAAAAGAAGGAAGGAAAAATCATGCATCACTTGGAGAATGAACAATAGGTTACTGAATGATCAATGTGTTATAGAAGACATCAAGGAGGAAATTAAAAAATTCTTAGAGATAAATGAAAACACAGACACAACATATCGGAATCTATGGGACACATTGAAAGCAGTTCTACGAGGAAAATTCATTGCTTGGAGTTCATTCCTTAAAAAAAGAAAAAACCAACAAATAAATGATCTCATACTTCATCTCAAAATCCTAGAAAAAGAAGAGCAAAACATCAGCAAAAGAAGTAGAAGGCAAGAAATAATTAAAATCAGAGCTGAAATTAATGAAATTGAAACAAAAGAAACAATTGAAAAAATTGACAAAACTAAAAGTTGGTTCTTTGAAAAAATAAACAAAATCGACAGACCCTTAGCCATGTTAGCGAAGAGAAGAAGAGAGAGAACTCAAATTACTAGCTTACGGGATGAAAAAGGCAATATCACAACAGACAATTCAGAAATACAGAAGATAATCAGAAATTATTTTGAATCCTTATACTTCAATAAAATAGAAGATAGTGAAGGCATCGATAAATTTCTTAAGTCATATGAACTGCTCATATTAAGTCAGGAGCATATAGACAACCTAAACAGACCAATATCAATTGTGGAAATAGAAGAAACCATCAAAAGACTACCAACAAAGAAAAGCCCAGGACCGGATGGGTATATAGCAGAGTTTTACAAAACCTTTAAAGAGGAACTAATACCAATACTTTTCAAGCTACTTCAGGAAATAGAAAAAGAGGGAGAACTTCCAAATTCATTCTACGAGGCCATCATCACCCTGATACCTAAACCAGACAAAGACACTTCAAAGAAAGAAAACTACAGACCAATATCTCTAATGAACCTAGATGCAAAAATCCTCAATAAAATTCTGGCGAATCGGATACAAAAACATATCAAAAAAATTGTGCACGATGACCAAGTAGGATTCATCCCTGGGATGCAAGGCTGGTTCAATATACGGAAATCAATAAATGTTATTCACCACATCAATAGACTTAAATATAAGAACCATATGATCATCTCGATAGATGCGGAAAAAGCATTTGACAAAGTACAGTATCCCTTTATGTTCAAAACTCTAGAAAAACTAGGGATAACAGGAACTTACCTCAATATTGTAAAAGCTATCTATGCTAAGCCTCAGGCTAGCATCATTCTGAATGGAGAAAAATTGAAGGAAATCCCTCTAAAATCTGGAACAAGACAGGGATGCCCTCTCTCTCCACTTCTGTTCAACATAGTTCTCGAAACACTATCCAGAGCAATTAGACAGAAGAAAGAAATTAAAGGCATCAAAATAGGAAAAGAAGAACTTAAATTATCACTATTTGCAGGTGACATGATTCTATACCTAGCAGACCCAAAAGGGTCTACAAAGAAACTATTAGAGCTAATAAATGAATTCATCAAAGTGGCAGGATATAAAATCAACATGCATAAATCAAAGGCATTCCTGTATATCAGCAACAAATCCTCTGAAATGGAAATGAGGACAACCACTCCATTCACAATATCCTCAAAAAAAATAAAATACTTGGGAATCAACCTAACAAAAGAGGTGAAAGACTTATAGAATGAAAACTACAGATACAGAACCCTAAAGAGAGACATAGAAGAAGATCTTAGAAGATGGAAAAATATACCCTGTTTATGGATAGGCAGAACTAACATCATCAAAATGGCGATATTACCAAAAGTTCTCTATAGGTTTAATGCAATCCCAATCAAAATCCCAATGGCATTTCTTGTAGAAATAGAGAAAGCAATCATGAAATTCATATGGAAAAATAAGAGACCCAGAATAGCAAAAACAATGCTAAGCAGGAAGTGTGAATCAGGTGGTATAGCGATACCAGACTTCAAACTATACTACAGAGCAATAGTAACAAAAACAGCATGGTACTGGTACCAAAACAGGCGGGTGGACCAATGGTACAGAATAGAGGACACAGAAACCAATCCACAAAACTACAACTATCTTATATTTGATAAAGGGGCTCAAAGTATGCAATGGAGGAAGGATAGCATCTTCAACAAATGGTGCTGGGAAAACTGGAAATCCATATGCAACAACATGAAACTGAATCCCTTTCTCTCGCCATGCACAAAAGTTAATTCAAAATGGATCGAGGAGCTTGATATCAAATCAGAGACACGCCGTCTGATAGAAGAAAAAGTTGGCTACGATCTACATACTGTGGGGTCGGGCTCCAAATTCCTTAATAGGACACCCATAGCACAAATGTTAATAACTAGAATCAACAAATGGGACTACTCAAACTAAAAAGTTTTTTCTTAGCAAAAGAAACAATAAGAGAGGGAAATAGGGAGCCTACATCCTGGGAACAAATCTTTACTCCTCACACTTCAGATAGAGCCCTAATATCCAGAGTATACAAAGAACTCAAAAAATTAGACAATAAGATAACAAATAACCCAATCAACAAATGGGCCAAGGACCTGAACAGACACTTCTCAGAGGAGGACATACAATCAATCAACAAGTACATGAAACAATGCTCACCATCTCTAGCAGTCAGAGAAATGCAAATCAAAACCACCCTAAGATACCATCTCACTCCAGTAAGATTGGCAGCCATTAGGAAGTCAAACAACAACAAGTGCTGGCGAGGATGTGGGGAAAAGGGTACACTTGTACATTGCTGGTGGGACTGCAAATTGGTGCAGCCAATTTGGAAAGCAGTATGGAGATTTCTTGGAAAGCTGGGAATGGAGCCACCATTTGACCCAGCTATTCCCCTTCTCGGTCTATTCCCTAAAGACCGAAAAAGAGCATGCTACAGGGACACTGCTACATCGATGTTCATAGCAGCACAATTCACAATAGTAAGACTGTGGAACCAACCTAGATGCCCTTCAATAGACGAATGGATTAAAAAAATGTGGCATTTATACACAATAGAGTATTACTCTGCATTAAAAAATGACAAAATCATAGAATTTGCAGGGAAATGGATGGCATTAGAGCAGATTATGCTAAGTGAAGCTAGCCAATCCCTAAAAAACAAATGCCAAATGTCTTCTTTGATATAAGGAGAGTAACTAAGAACAGAGTAGGGACGAAGAGCAGGAGAAGAAGATTAACATTAAACAGGGATGAGAGGTGGGAGGGAAAGGGAGAGAGAAGGGAAATTGCATGGAAATGGAAGGAGACCCTCAGGGTTATACAAAATTACATACAAGAGGAAGTGGGGGGAAAGAGAAAAATAATACATGGGGATAAATGAATGACAGTAGAGTGGGTAGAGAGAGAAGAGGGGAGGGGAGGGGAGGGGAGGGGGGATAGTAGACGATAGGAAAGGCAGCAGAATACAACAGACACTAGTATGGCAATATGTAAATCAATGGGTGTGTAAGTGATGTGATTCTGCAATCTGTACACAGGGTAAAAATGGGAGTTCATAACCCACTTGAATCAAAGTATGAAATATGATATATCAAGAACTATGTAATGTTTTGAACAACCAACAATAAAAAATTAAAATAAATAAAAATAAAAAAATAAATAAAATTAAAAAAAAGAAAAAGGTCATCCCTGCCTTGTTCCAGATTTTAGAGGGAATGCTTTCAATTTTTTTTCTTAATTTAGAATGATGTTGTCCTGTGGCTTAACATAAATAGCCTTTGCAATGTTGAGGAATGGTCCTCTTAGCCCTAGTTTTTCTAGGGTTTTGAACATGAAACGATGCTCTATTTTATCAAATTCTTTCTCTGCATATATTGAGAAGATCATATGATTTTTAACTTTGAATCTATTGATGTAATGAATTACATTTATTGATTTCCGAATGTTGAACCAACCTTACATCCCTGGGATGACCCCTACTAGATCATGGTGCACTAATTTTTTGATATGTTTTGTATCTGATTTTTCAGAATTTTATTGAGGATTTTTACATATATACTCATTAGAGATATTGGTCTGAAGTATTCTTTCTTTGATGTGTCTTTGTCTGCTTTTGGAATCAGGGTGATATTGGCCTCATATGATGTGTTTGGAAGTGTTCTTTCTTTTTCTATTTCATAAAATAGTTTGAGAAGTATTGGTGTTAGTTCTCCTTTCTCTCACAACACACAAACCTCAACTCAAAATAGATCAAGGACCTAGGAATTAAACCAGAGACCTTGTGCATGGAAGAAAAGTAGGCCCAAACCTCCATAACGGCAGATTAGGCCCCAACTTCCTTAATAAGACTTCTATAGCCCAAGAATTAAATCCAAGAATCAATAAATAGGATGGATTCAAACTAGAAAGCTTCTTCTTAGCAAAAGAAACATTCAGTGAGGTGAATAGAGAGAAAACAGAATGGGAGCAAATTTTTACCATAAGCACTTCAGGTAGAGCACAAATATCTAGGGTACATAAAGAACTCAAAAAGCTGAATACCAAAAAAAAAAAACAAACAACAAATAACCCAATCAGTAAAGGGACCAAGGAAATGAACAGTCACTTCTCAAAAGAGGATACATAATCAATCAACAAACATATGAAAAAAAATGCTCAACATCTCTAGCAATTAGAGAAAGGCAAATCAAAACTAAGATTTTATCTCACTCCAGTCAGAATGGCAGCTATCAAGAATACAAACAACAACATTGTTGGCGAGGATGTGGGGGAAAAAGGCAGACTTATACATTGCTGGTGGGACTGCAAATTGGTGCAGTCAATCTGTAAAGCAGTATGGAGATTCCTTGAGAAATTGAGAATGGAACTACCATTTAACCCAGCTATCCCACTCCTCGGTTTATACCCAAAGGACTTAAAAACACTATACTACAGGGACACAGCCATATCAATGTTTATAGCAGCACAATTCACAATAGCTGAATTGTGAAACCAACCCAGATGCCCTTCAGTAGATAATGTATATGCATACACAATGGAACATTATTCAGCATTAAAAGAAAATAAAATCATGGCATTTGCAGGTAAATGGATGGAGTTGGCGAATATCATGCTCAGTGAAGTAAACCAATCCCTAAAAACCAAAGGCCAAGTGTTTTCTTTAATATGAGAATGCTGACTTATAATGGCAATGGTGGGGGGGTGGAGTAACTTTAGAGAGGGAAAAGGGGAAGGAGGAAAAGGGACCATGAAAGGGGGTAGAAATGACGGTGTAATGAGTTAGACATTATTACCCTAAGTACATGTATGAAGACACGAATGGTGTAGAAATACTTTGTGTACAACCAGTGGCTTGAAAATTTGTGTTCTATATGTGTAATATAAAATGAATTGCATTCTGCCATCATGTAGAACTAATTAGAATAAATAAATAATTTAGTAAAGAAAAAATCCCATCAATGTGTAGAAATGTAATGGACCAATTTTTTAAAAATGTAGCAAAAATCTTTTGATTAACACATAACTATTATACATATTAAAGGTTATAGTGTGATGTTTCCACAGAGATCTTTATATAGAAATGAGGGGGGAAAGAAGGAATAGCCAGATGGGGTTCTCAGAAATACAGGTTTTCTCAGCTAAGCAGAGAAGTATCATATTTTCATTAACTATGGAAGCAATTCCTATCCATAATCTTAATGAATTCCTATCTCAGACTCATTTCCCCACTTTTGTTACTAAAGGAGCATTCTTCAAATATGTGCAAAATTAAATTCTTACAAATTTAATTATTTTTCACTGATTCTTAAATTTCATTCCTGATTGCTGTGACTCTTGATTTCACTTTATTTCCCTATTCAACTTAATACCCCTCTCTGTTAAACAGTTAATAATTTATAAAACATATACATATTGAAAGAACAAGCTGCTATTTTCATCCTTTCACTAAAGCCCCAGGTATTATTTTTAATTCTACAATTTCTTTCAAGTTAGGTTAGTTACATTGAAGAAGGTACAAGGTGTGGAATGTGAAGGCTGAGGAAGCCTCTCCTATCTGTCTTATGGAAAGTCATCTGTCACAGCACCAATATTCCTTCTTAGCAAGGATATGTACAAAAATCAGACAGGCTCATGACTCCATTGTCTCTTAGAAAGTACCTGCTCTTCCTTGCTGTTGATCACCACCAGATGAGCCTCCATTCTAGAGCAGTTCTCCTGACTCTCCTTCCAAGATCTTTGTTTAGAAGAAATAAAGTAGCAACTGGAACTAAATGACTTCCAATTCTTTGGGCAACAGCTCCAGACTTTTCCTTTATCGGGAAGAAGGAAATATAAGTGCAACATACAAAAATCTATTTTTAAAGTGCATTTATTATTAAAATTAAGGACCAAAGGAGACCACATGAGCACCGTTATCCTATCTTCATCCAGATGTAACAAAGAGCCAAGTCTGCCTTCATCAGGTATTCATGTGTCAGGGAACATTTCTCCTGCTGAAGTGGTATCAGGAAAAGCCAGCAAAAACATAATAATATTTTAAATACGACCCCACCTCTGAAAACTCAATACAAAAATGTCGAAGGTTCAGCAAAAGATAGCTCTTTACACCAAAAACCAGGAAGTTCTCAAATGTAATAAAAACTGATAATCGACTGATGTAAAAAATCATGAAAACAAAAATGTTAGAATTATGTAACAAAGATTTTTAAAGCAGCCATAATAAAGATGCTCTAATAAGAAGGAGCAAACATTCTTCAAGCAAAGTTTTAAAACAGCAGACTCAACAAAGAAACAGAGATATAAAAAAACTACAGAAATTTTATCATTGAAAAATATAATCACATTTTAAGATGTCAGTATAGGACTTAACATCAGAATGGAGGGAACAGAGAAATAAGTGAATTGGGAGGGACAAACAACCAGAATTTTCCAACCAAACACCAGAAACATAATAAAAACAATAAACAGAACTTCATTTATCATGATTTCAAATGTGAATATACCAAGCAACAGGTTTGCAAAATATATGAACTAAGAATTCACACAAGTGGAAAGAAAAGTTGAAAATAGATTAATAAAATTAAAGAAATCCAGGCAAAAAATTAGAAAACCGTTGAAGAACAAAAACTTTATCAACCTACAGAATCCAATCAACATTCTTAGAAGAGTCTACTCACCAACAGACTACCCATTCTTTACAAGTGCCTATGGAGCCTATGACAAGATAGACCACATACTGAGATACAGAACATACTTCAAGAAATTTAAAATCATTAAAATCATATAGTGTCATTCAACAACAATGAGAGCAAACTAGAAATCAATGAAAGAAAGAAAACAGAAAATCTCCAAACACTTGAAACTAAATAATACATATAAATAACCCATGAGTTAAAGATGTGTCAAAGATAACTTTAAAAAATACATTGAATGAATGAAAATAAAAATACAACATATCAAAATTTCTAGGATATTATTCTTCAATAAAAGGAATCAGGGCTCTTCATAGAAATGGTTAATTCTAGATAGGGACAGAAAACAGACAACATGAGTCTAGAGCATTTTGTAGTTACAGAAAGTAAAATACAAAAACAAACAAAAAACATATTGATGGCAAATGACAAAGGCCACAAGAGCCAACAGAAAGACCACCCAGTAGTCAAAGTTAGAATAACAAGATAAATGAAGTGGCAATGGATTACAATCTGAAATATAAAGTAAATAGACATGAGTGCATGCAGATGTAAATGATAGAGTAAATTAATAAATGGAATAGAAAAGACAAACCTCAAATGCCTAAGAATTCCAAATAAATTATATAGATACTTCTTGATGGCTAATTTTATATACTAGTTTTATCAAGCATTCTGGGTATTGCTTCAAGGATATTTTTGAATGAGAATCACATTTTAATTTGTGAAATTTTAGTAAAGAAGTTTGCCTTCCAAATGTGAGTAGATCTCATCCCATCAGTTGAAGATCTTAATGGAACAAAAGAATGCCCCCCCACAGGCAAGAGAGAATTTTCCAGCAAACTTGCCTTTAGACTTCATCTGCAACATTTGCTCTTCCTGGTCCTGCAGCAGATTGTCATTGTTCTCAAACTGCTACTTTTCCTGAGTCTCCACCCTGCTGTTTACCCAGATCAAATTTTAGACTTTTCAAGCCTCCATAATTGCAAAAGCCAAATCCTTAAACTAAATTGTCATATACATATTGCATCTGTTCCTCCAGACAACCCTAAGTACTCCATCTTAATGGACAAGAATAACTCCTCAATCTTAAAGTGTGAGCTATGCATAGTAACTTCTTTACAAACAGTACAGTGTGGAAATGGAAGACGGAAAAGTAGCTTTAAGTTCAGCATCAATTATTAAAAATTGTTTTGATAATATATACTCTTGAAATAATGTGATGAAAATAGCATTTAACATCTATGACCTTCCTCCCAAAAAACAAATAATCCCAATCTAACCGTTAGAAAACTTCAACTTTTAATAGAGAGACAGCCTACAATATATAGAACAGTATTCCCCAAAATTGTCAGTGTCATCATAAACATGGAAGGTCTGAAAAACTATCATAGCAAATAAGAGACATGACAATTAAATGTAATTTCACAGGCTGCATGGGACTTTAGTACAGAAAAAAGAACAATAGTTGAAAACTTACGAAAAAAATCAAGAACTGTGGGATATGAAGGTGGCTCAGTGATAGACTTGTCTAGCATGTGTGAAACCCTGTGTTTAATTCCCAGTACCAAAAATATTGTAAATTTAATTAGTGATAATATGTTAATATTGATTCATTATTTGTAGCAAATACTCTTAATTACACAGTGGTCACTGTGTGCAGGATGGAATTAAAACTGGATCTTTCAATATCATATGCTTATGTTTTTGTAAATGGAAATAAGTTCTTTAAATAACATATATTAATATAAATAATTCAATCTCACAATAATATAGCCATTATCATTATTGTCATCAATTTTTTTAACTGACATGTGAGAAAAGGAGCTGCACTGCACAGAAACTTCAGAAAAAAACAGGCTGAATAAATGCAACACCAGTATATCATGTTTCACAATTAAGCTTCACATGAACAACTTTGAATTCACAAACAAGAATTTTAGACCCTATGAATTATATAATACATTTGTAGCTTAGAACAATCATGAGATTCCACTTCTTATTGTGATCTCCCTGGTAATCATAAATTCTGATTTGGGATCATTACCTACTACAGTAATTGAATTCTATGCACATTAAGTTTTACCTTTCATGGTTGAATTGATTTTTACACACTCCAAATTTGTATGAATCATTTCTTTTGTAGAACTTTCATAGTTTTTTTCTTTGAGCAGCTGAGAATTTTTTAGAAAGAAAGCTGTAAAATAGAATATAAATCAATCATTTTGCCAGTAGCATTAGGTTACTGCTCCATACATTACTTTCTTGCATTCTAAACAGAAACAAAATCCACAAATGTCTGATTACCTGATAGGACAGAGCATGACAGGAAAAGTTTCCCCTTGACCCCACAGTCAATGGAATAATGATCCTACTACTTTTAAATGATTAGGTATCTCTCAGGAAGAGCTAAAAGATGAAGAGTTGAAAGAGGACATGGCAGTTCCATCATAATGGGACCTAAAGGATCTTGTCCACAGTGTTCTTCAATACTTAACCTAAGATGCCAACAAAGGCTAAATATTGTAGGAAGGAAGTGGAAGTTATTTAAGGAAGTACACCACCTGGGACTTTGGGGGAAGGAAGAATTTGCTAATTTTAAGCAACTCTGGTTTATCTTAAAGAACAGAAAAAAAATGTTTTTCAAAAACCCCAAGACTGATCAAGAGAAAATTGTGCTTCATCTCTTTTGTCTTTTAACTCTCTTCATCACAATTGATTCTAACTCCTCAGTGCACCAGGTCTCTTCCATTTGAGAACTAATTCACACCTCCCCCTAGAAATTGAATTTTCTGAGTTACAGTGGTATCTCAGTATTACAGCACTTGCCTAGCATATGCAAGACCCTGGGAGAAATTACTGCAAGAAATTAAATTTCCTCTTTCCTTCTAACCTCCTATTTGTTCCTTGACCCACTATATTCTGGCTTTGGCTTTCATCAATTTATTAAAACAATCCTTGAAATGGATCATCAGTAATTTTCTAGGAGCACTTATTAGTCATCTTCTAATGACCTTCTTGCTATCATTCACCCTGGGTTTTCCTCTGTAGCTCTTGGTGCAGTGCTCTACCTGTTCCCACCTCCGCTTTCTTGCTGCCGCTTCTTATCCTCTTCCATCAGCTCTCTTCCTCCATTCAACTTTTTAAAAAATGTAGCATTTCCAAGAGTTCTATCCTAATCCCTACTTCTTGCTTAATGTGCTCTTCTGGAGTGATAGCATATATTCCCATGCTGGGACTTGCTGTCATTATGTGAAGGACTTCCAAAACGCCAGACCTCTTTTCTAAAATCCAAGCAAATATGCCTGCCACTGGACATGTACATTTGTGGTTTGACACATTTTCCCCAAAATGTAAATAATCATCTTTCTAAAAAAACCTGCTATGCATCCTATATTGCCTACCTCTTTGAATAATTCTTCACTGCTGAGTTTACAAGATCAAAATATATATTCACCCTTAACTTCTCTGGGTCCTTTAATCCCCAGTATCATCAAGCTTTGGCCTCCTTCATTATATCTTCTTTACCATTCAAAGCTACCTTTCTTCTATTTCTTCAATAGCACCACCCTCCTTAAATGATGCTCTCAATGTTTCAAATGGGATTATGAATTAGCATCTGTTTGGTGCATTATAATTATACATAATAATAGGATGCACTGTTACATAATCACATGTGCTTATAATATTATTTGGTCAATTTCATTCCTAGTACTTCCAATTTCTCTCCTCTCTTCCCTCACCCTGTCCCCTTCCTCTACTACTATTTCTTCAATTTTCATGAGTGCTCACCCCTTTTTCTCTTTTTGCTCCCAAATTATCATATATGAGAAAAGACATACAACCAGTGATTTTCTGACTCTGGTTTATCTCACTTAACGCAATGCTGTCTACATCAATCCATTTTCCAGGAAATAACACCTCTCCTTACCTTCACTCTTGTCCTCATAAATCCATTTTCACACCTCAGTAAAAGCATATCCCCAAAGTTAAATTTGACTATGTCAATTCCTTCCCCAGAATTCCACAATGGCTGGCCAGGACTGACTCACTGCAAGATGGGCATCAATATTCCATCCGCCCTATACTCACACCCCTTCCCAATGTGACTTTTCATGTTCTACAATCAACAAGTGGGGTCTGTTTCTTCACCACTAGAATATAAGCTGACTTTAAGATTCCATTTGGCCAAAAGAACATGCAAAAGTAACCATGCTAAATCGAAACTGAAACTTCATTGTGCTTGGTTTTCTTTTTCCCTCTTTCTTGGAAATCTGCCAGTGGCCATGTGAACAAACCCAGGCTATCCTGATGAGTAATGAGAGAAATGTGGTTATTGCCCCTTTCATTCCAGCTGACATGCTCTTCCTCAAAAGCCACGTTGCCTGTGATTGGTTCCTAACAGCATATGCATGACTGAGTTCAGTCAGGACCAATGGAAACTCCCAATAAGACCAGTCTAAATTGCCAAGCCACAGATGCATGAGCTAAATAAATAGCTGTTTCAAGCCACTGTTTTAGACTTCTTTATTAAGGAGCAAAGGATATTTTATAAAATATCAAATTTTTTTTATAATGGTACATGACATTCTTCATTATCTGAGTTCTGTTTATGACTGCCACAACCAGCTTCATTTCATAGTTTTTCACATAGTACTATATGCCATGTTTATATTTCCCCCAAATCTTTGATACTATAATATGTCTATGTTATTTTTGATACACACAGTCATAGATGTCTCCTCCTTCAGCAAACCTATCTCAGCCTCTTGTGCTTATTTCTTACCTGAACAACACTTCCCATCTACTGTTGTAATCACTGGTTATTTTGACTATTCTATTAATGTCTTGACACCAGTGGCTGTGGCTATTTCTGGATTCTCTAACAAGGCGCCTAGCAAACAATATGTATGGCCATTGTTACTTATCAAATTACCAAATTAATGAATAAAACATGTATCTTAATATATGCTGACATTTATGACTTTTGAAAACTTGATAAACTCTGAAATACAAGATATGCATAAATCTACTTATTTGTTAAATTAGTTATCACAGTATTGACCAAGACAGAAATTATTAGAAGGAAATTCACTGGAGAACTCTTCCTGGAACATTTCTTGACATCTTCTGCATGTTCACCTGCTCATCCCAAAATATAAATGTCTGTGAAGTCAAATAAGGCTAGCCTTATAAATACAATTAAGGAATTATAGATGTGTCCATACAAAGAATCTAATATAGAACTGATGAGTCATAGATTTCATTCTGTAAACCAACACATACACATATATCTACTTTTCAAATTCTCTCAATGAAGATGAATCCCATTGTTTTTCCAAAAGCAAAATTCCCAGTGAATTCTCAGGAACTATATCCACCCACTCAAGCCCCCAAAAATTTATTTTTCAAAGGTCTGGATCATTGTGAAATGTCAATTTCTAATGAATACCTTCTATTCATGAAAAGCAGGCATTGCTGACTGACTTAGTTGGCATACTTACTGATAAAAGACACAGACAATAAGATTTCCTTCAGCAGGAAAAGTATCAACAACAAGGCAAGAAGAAGCTTGGAAAAACCAAAATTACTCTGGAGAGGAATGGTGTTTTCCCTGGGATCTGAAGAATAAATCAAATTAATTCATCAGTAATAAATTCTATCCTCATCAGTAATAAGTTCTATCCTTATTTCCAGTTCCTCCTCTATGTGAGTTGGTTTTTGTCACTGTGATCAAAATATCTTACCAGAACAACTTATAGTAGAAAAATTTTATTTTGGGTTTGTGGTTTCAGAGGTGTCAGTCCATGGTCCATCTTCTCCATTACTCTGGGCCTGAAGTGAGGCAGAACATCATGGAAGAAGAGTGTAGTGGAGGAATGCTGTTCAGCTCAAGATAGCCAGGAAGCAGAAAGAACAACCAAGGAGCCAGGGAAAAAATATAATCCCTTGAGGAATTATGTTGATCAAATTATATTGTTATATCATGTACATGTATGAATATGTAACAGTGAATCCCACTGTTGTGTAGAATTATAATTAATCCATAAAAATATTGAAATAAAAAGTATATAATCAAAAGGCATGCCCCTGTGACCGAATTTCTTCAGCCACACCCCACCTAATTACCAACCAGCAATCCATTCTAATTATTAATCCATCAAATACATTAATCCACCAGCTAGGTTATGGGTCTCATAACTGTTTTATCTCTTTAACATTTATGAATTGCCACATAAACTTTTTGGAGCACATCTCATAATCAAGCCATAACATTTTACTCCTGGCCCTCAAAACATCACATCCATCTCACAAAAAAAAATGAAAAATACATTTAGTCCATCTCCAAGAGTCCCCATAATTTTCAAAGTTCCAGTACACATCCAAAGTCTCCTCTGTGACTCAAGACAAACACTGTGTTTTGAGCCTCTGTAAAAATCAAAAGTTATATACTTCCAATATACAATGACATAAAGTAAATGTTCCCATTCCAAAAAGGAGGAATAATGATATAGAGGAAGGGATGGAACCAAAACAAGTGAAACTCAGTCATGCAGATATTAGTTTCTGTAACTCCATGTCCAGAATCTGGGGAATATTGTGGTGAGATGTAATCTTCAAAGGGCTTCTGCAGCACCACCTAAATTTCCTTGCTGGTTGTAATTCACATGGTCGCTTTCTTAGGCTGACTCCCTCTACAGCCAACAGCTTTCCTCAGCAGACATTCCACATTACTGACATATCTTAATCCCTGAGATCTCCATTCCAGCTTCAGCTTCCCCTTCACAGCTTCATGTGTCCCCTCTCAAGGGAATCCTGAAGGGATTCCAACACAGCTTCACTTTGTCTGAACACTCAAGTCTTCCTTTGAAATCTCAGTGGAAACCTCCATGATCCTCTGGCTGCCATCAGCTGAACAACTCTACTCTGCCATGCCCTTCCACCATGATGTACTGCCTCACTTTAGAGCCAGAGTGATGGAGCTGACTCACCAAAGACTGACCTCTGAAATGTTGATCCCAAATAAAGCTTTCTTCTGTAAGTTGTTCTTATCAGGTATTTTGGTCACAGTGAAAAAAAAAAAGGAAACTTTCTCCTCTTATTACTTTAAATTTTCTTCTATAAACCACAATCACTAATACTGTGAATATTTGAAATAACATGAAAATGGAAATTTAAAAAATAAATGTTTATTACAAAAACATTATAAAATACCCAAAAACAAAAATTTCTATCATTGAAAATAACTATTGTTAATTTTTTGGCACATGTCTCTTCAGCAATTTTTGAAGTGTTTACAGCATATATGTGCATTTTTCCATTTCATTGACACATATTTACTGATTTCTGATTCATTATTTTCTTTTATACTGTATCATGAACATTTTTTCACCATAATTTCTTTATTAATATTTTAATTATGGTTGCTTATTATTTATTACATATTTAAATAATATTTCAGATTGCATCCATTTATAAGTAAACTATAAAAGATAAATCTTTCTAACCAAGTTTCATATTTTTAGAATAAAGTCAACCTCTTTAGCCACTATTTCATGGTTAAAAACCATTTTCTGGACACGGGGCATACCTTCAAGCTTTTGCTTAGGATACATAAAACCTAAAATTGGTCACCACCAAAGATGAGGGGGTCAGTGGGGACACATTCCATTCAGATAAAAGCACTAAATAGGAGAAACACTTTCCTTAAAATTATGTATGTTGTCTTAATTTATTCATTTATTTATTTTTATTTATGTATGACAACAGAATGCATTACAATTCTTATTACATGGCCTCTGGAACAGGAATCCCCTGTGTTTCTCCTTTGCTAGCAAAGTAATAAGCTTTTTTTTCTTTTTCTCAAAAAAAAAATTATGTATATTGTCAATGATGAGGAGGAAAAATTCAGTATTATATTCTTTCAGTTCTGGAAATATAGGTACACACATTTCTACATATTCATATCTTAAAGGATATACAATAGAATTCAATGTCTGTTAATAGTAAATGATAATAGTAAAGAAAATATTATGGATGTTTTCTTTCCCATTTGCAACTTTACAACACCTTAATTCCTATCTACAGGCAGCACAATCCTAGAGATTCCTGGGTGTCCCAGACATGATCACTCAGATATAACAGCAACTAACATTACCTCTGGCCTGCTTATTAACTGTCTCTTCATCTTTCACCTCATAATTAACTTTGACCACTGGAAAATGATTTTTACCTGCAGGAGAATTTGAGTTGGTGCCTGAGGACTTCAATTCATTTTTGAAATTCACTTCAGCATAATATGTTCCCAAAGCCATCTTGAGAAGAAACCTTCTGCTTTTTTTTTTCAGAAATCCTATGCAATATTTTTCTTAAAACATATTACAAATGAGAATCCAGCCTGAGAGTAAATTGTTCTACCACTTAACTAGATGAAAGCAGAAGTAATAAATATACACATACCCCTAAGATTGAAAACATGTGAAACCACTGGGCCACAGAGGTCCAATCTTCCTGACAACCAGATGAGAATTTCAGCTGTCATAGTAAATATAGCTAAAAAATATAACAAAAGTGGTTACTCAAAAGAAATAGGAAGGAAAGGAAAAGAGGAATCAAGCAATTAAAGAAATCTTTTCTGAGAACTTCATTCTATAAATTCAACAGCAAAACTGAAATTTGTGAGCTTCTACATACAAGTGTAACCTCTTATTAGCCAACCACCTGAGCAACACTTGTTCACATTGTGTTCATATCATCATGTTTGACTGATAAGGCAGCTTTTTGTACCACATTCTAAGGTTATAATTGGCACAAATCTCCTGAATACAGCCTGCCCATGTTTAGAGCCACCTTCCTTTAGCATGGTGGGGAAGCAAAAGTTTAAAATTTATTTTCAGATAGTGTTCCTCTGTGATCTCTGTATTCCCCTGCTGTTCATAATCAGTTCCATCATGAATCTCTATTCATTTTGCTACTGGTTACCTTGAGAACTCCTGAAAGCCATAATAAAAGAGGAGGGCATCTTTCATTTCATACTTATCTCTACCTTTACTCCCCACATCACATTAACAACCAGCTCTGGAAGTTCATATGATTATACTTAACAGTTAGGAAAATTGAATGGAATCACATATAGAAGAGAAAGAACTTGAGTGCAAAATCTGAATTTTTTTGTCCAAAGGATAAGATGTAAGCAGTCCAAAAACTAAATCTTTCATGGAGGACCAGTCCAGAGGGTTACTTTGAATTCATGCCCAGGTTCTTTACCCTCTGATCTCCCAAAATGATTCCCCTTCTTGTAATCACCCCTAACTCTTTTTTTTCTATTATATCTGTCTCCCTCCCTCCACATCTCTCCTTCTTTCTCATCTCTATATTTGTTTCCATTGCATTTCTACATTTGTGTGTGTCTGTGTGTCTGTGTGTGTGTGTGTGTGTGTGTGTGTGGTGCTGGCGATTGAACCCAGGGCCTTGTACATGCAAAGTAAGCACTCTACCAATTGAGCTATGCCCCCTACCCTTACATTTATTTTTGTATCAACATATACTGAAAACCCTAAATTCACAGTAATACTTCTAATTCAATGGCTCAGATTTCATTTTCATTTTCTCAATTTTCACATTTCTTTCTGTCACACTTCTATCACATCAGTGACAGAAAGAAATTTGTGTTCATTATCTTTACACTTATTCACTTATTTTTAACTTATTTGATTTTACTCTGGATGTTACCAATCTCTCATCTTTTGTACCATCTTTCCCTAGACATTCTTTTCTCCATGATATATCCTTTACTCCCTAGGCCAACCACTGTCTCCTGCACAATAGCCCTCCTCACTCTAATTGAGTGTTCCCACAATGGCCAGCCAACCACACCTCATCTAATAGACATTCTCCTCACTTTGCTGAGGTTCTGACACCTCGTGCTAAGCCACCCTCAAATTTACAGCATACATGAAAAAAAGTCAGTGTCCTACAAGATAGTATTTACCTGAATATTTCAGTCGAGGAACATTCATACTGTTCCCTTAATTTGAGTGGTTTCTTGGAAACAGAAAGGGGTGTTTCAGGGTCATGCTATATTACTGTTCTACTTTTCTTTAAGGGTGACACAGATCAGATTCTTAAAGCATATCTCTCACCACCACATGGTCTCCCTGAGCTCTAACAGACCACACAAGGCTACTCCCACTGATAAAAGTTCTTACCATATAAGGACCAGACTCCCCTTTGGGCCTATGCCATCATGTGGAGAGCTTCCTTATCCAGCTCAGTCTCTGAAACCCACACCATGACTATCTTCTGCACAGACATTTCCTTCATCCTGCTTGGGCTTTGACATCCCATGCCAGGTCCTCCACTGCCAGCAAGAATTTCTTCTGTCCCTTGCTTACGTGGTGAATTTCAACAATGGACTCTACACAGAGATACCCCCTTTACCCTGACTGGTCTCTGAAACCCACACAGGTTTCCCTCTCCAAGGATGCCCTCCTCACCACACTTAGGCACTGAATCCCAAACAACATTGGAAATAACACTGTTGAGGGGTGTCTACTCACCGCTCCCAGATGCTGAGATTCCATGCCAGGCAGCCCCTCTCTAAGGATTCATTCCTCACCCAAAAGGGAGCTCTGACTTCTCACAAAAACTGACTTCATGCATGGATGACTTCCCAATCCTGCTTAAGTTACATTCCGCATATCTCACCACACCACCACATAGATGGCCTCTTCTCACAGACTGACATCTCACACCAGCCTTCCCCTATGGGGACACCTCCTCAATTCTCCTGTCCTCTGCTACTCTGCTCTGGGCCACTGCCACTTGTGGACAGCCTCCTCACCATGCTCAGGGTCTAAGTATACACACCAGAAGACACTCCACCACCATGATGAGGTTTTATTCACTTTTCATGGGCTCCAATACCACTGTCACACCAAACCCCTTCATTGTCACCTTTCCTTGCTTGAGCCTAAGGCCCAGTGCTACATTTATCCCACCTGCTCACCCCATCCTACAGCAAACACCTATTTTGCCCTGTCCCATATAGTGCTTAATTTAGGACCAAATAATTAGTAGGGAAATGTACAAAGTGCTACAATGTACAAAGGCGTTTTATGTTCTCTGCAATTAATTTTGGAACTTAACAAAATACAAGCATTTAGATAGTTGTGCATACACACACCCTCCTTCTAGTAATAATAACTGATTCTAAGAAGCTTTCTCATTCAAGTTCCTTAAACATAATAGGTTTCTAGGTTTCTAAAGTTAGTCTCTCTTCCTAGAATAACTCACATTGCAAATAGACTACATTGTGTCCAAAACAACCCCAAAGCTTTGTAACATTTATTTCCCACACACAGAACATGTGGACTTAAAGATCTACTTAAAGTTGACTATAACTTGACTTGGATCCTTTCTGAATGTTTTCTCATTCTGGAACCCAGGTGGGAGGCATGGTGAGGAAGATGTTCACACATACAGTGTCCCTCAGCACAGTACCAGGGTATAAGAGGATGGAGAAGGTATCCACAATCATTGAGTGGCTCCTTGTAAGCTGAACTGTGCAGCAGAATCCTCAATTCGGGTCAAGTGCATGTTATATTCACTCTGATCTGTTGACCAATGGATGTTACCTAGATAAACATGTGAATAGGCAAAACAAGACACTCCACCCATAGGAAGACATGTCAATAGCATCAAAGCTTAATCCTTTCTCAGAGAATGATATAAACACTTGGGAATGGTGATGGAATCTACACCCAAACCCTTTAAATTATAGAGTCAATGGATCTCTTAGACAGTGATCTTCAAAATGGAGCACCTTGGTTGATTAAAAAAAAAAAAAAAAGTAGAAACACTAGAGCATATAGACAAAATACTGAAACTTCTATTTATATTTCCTTATGATTTTGTGAAAAATAAACTTTAATAATATTTTATGGATTTAGTATTGGATGCTTGTCATATAAGTTACATGATCTATCATGAAAGCATGGAAGCTCATAAGAAATTGATGGTGTACCTTATTTGTTATTTGCTACATGTTGCCTCATGACCTTTTTGCAAATAACAGTGTGCTATATAGATTTTGCTCCTTTTTGAGTACTGTGAATAGTTTCCCAATGGTATGTTAATTAGCACATATTTAGTTAAGCACACAAGCAATGTACACACAACTCATGCTCTCTGAGCAAAGAAAATGTTCTAAAAATAAATGAGAAGGCAACTACATTATAAAAGAAACAAATACTATGCAGGGACAAATCAGAAAACTGATAACAGGAAGAAATGTTATTGCCACATTGTGATTTTTCTCTTGCCAAAAAAGAAGTAAGAATATGGTTTATCTACCTGCTTTTTTTGAAAGGCTAAAAATGAAGGGTTTTATTTAAGTACTGTCTCAAAGCTACTGCATAGCATAGGAAACAATCAACAGAATAAAGATACAACCTACAGAATTGGAGGAAATATTTTCCAATTATTTCTTTAAAAAGAAATTACTATCAGAATATATAAGGAATTAAAAAACACAACAAAAATACAAATTATCTAATATAAAAATGAGCAATCTGAATACATATTTCTTAAAAGAAGAAGTATAAATTATCCCATACATATAAGAAAAAAAATTCAATGTCATTAACCATCAGCAAAATGCAAATTAAAACCACAATGAAAAATCACCTCACCCTAGTCAAAATGTTTATTATTAATAAAGCAAAAAATAAAAAAAAATCACAGTGAGGATATGTAGAAATTATATACTGGTGGGAATGTAAATTAGTACATCCATTATGGAAAAAGTATAAAATGTCCTCAAAAAACTAAAAATAAATTCATAAATATGATCCAACTATCCCACTTCTAGGTATATGTTTTAAAATGTGCAATTGTCATACCAAAGAAATAAACTTCACTCTTACGTGCACTACTCACAATAGTCAGAATACAAAATCAGATAAGGTGTCCATCAACAGATAAATGGATAAAGAAATTTTAGCATATATACATAATTGAATATTATTCACTAATGAAAAATGAGATTTTGTCACATTGTAGCAATGTGAATGAAACTGAAAAACATTAAGTGAAATAAGTCAGGTACAGAAAGACAAATACTGCATATTCTCCATACATAGCTAAAAATTGATTTTATAGAAGTAAATAATATAGTAGTTACAAAAGTCTAGGAAGGAGGTTCTGAAAGCAGACAGTTTATGGGTACAGAGGACCTATAGTACAGTGGGATCACTACAGTTAACAATAATGAACTGAGTATTTTCAAATAGATGGTAGAGAGTATTTTGAATATTTCCAACACAAAATGATGTTTGAGATGATGCATATGCTAATTATTCCAGTGTGATCTTTGCACACAATATACATGTATTGAAGTATCTCACTTTGCCCCATAAAAATCTGTTGATATTAAATAAAAAACAAATATTTAGCTCAGCATGGTGGCACATACCTGGTATCCCAGCTACTCAGGAGGATGAGTCAGAAAGATCACAAGTTCAATGCCAATATGAAAAAAATTAGTAACATACTGTCTCAAAAAAATAAAAAGTTCTGAATAAGTCACTCATATATAGAGAACTTGCCTAAAAATGTGCAAGGCCCTGGGTTCCATCCTTCCTACCAAAATAACATTTTTAAATCAGCAAG